ATCTCTCCCACATCAATCTTTATGCCTGTCATGATGCACACAATGAGGAGTGACTTTTCAATGTTGATGTCAGTTTCATTCCTAGACGACATCAGAAGGGATGTGACAAAGCTTAGCCAATATCGACCCTCCCGTGTGAGATCCTTCTTGCAAATCTTGTGTTTAGGGTAAATCCAGGTTGGTGTCCCCTTTGCTATGATAGAGGAAATCCAGGCGTGCTCGTTGTTTTTGTTAGCTACCTTAGCCTCATACTCAGCTGTGCCTAGCCTCCACTCCTCAAAGTACAGGTCATTAATTGTTGCGTCATCACAGAGAACTTACACCCCTCGAACTAGGATACATTGTGCAAATATCTTGTTTCTTCTATGCTCAGTAGTCCTTGATACACCAGGAGAAGCATAGAATTCCCTCACAAGTGTCTCATTGTATTCATCGGGGACCTCAGTGAAGAATTCCTATTTCCTCTGCTTGATATTCTCGATTACATGAGGGTAGTGCTCCTTCAGCTCGTTTAGACTCAACTGCTTCTCCTTGAGAATATTTCTCTTTGATAGCCCTTCTTTATACAGATTCATGGAGTATATGACTCCAAACTAGAGATTAAAATCCTCCACCATCTTCCTTCGTCCCTCATCCTGTAGGTCAACAGATGGCTTGAGGTCACTATGTGCCTCCTCCTCTTCAGACTTGGAAGGGTGCTCAGAAGTAATGCGAATATCCTGAGCCCGATGATGTTTGGCTTGTTGGGCTTGTTGGCTCGGGGTAGCAACCCGTTTCTTTCCACGAGCGCGAGGTGATCGCATTGGAAGAGACTTCTTTGGTGTCATTCCTGATGATGAAACATTGTGTGAGTGCGTGAAATAGCATAGGAATTACATTGATATAAAGGAAAGAAGTCAGTATCTTATGCGATGGGTTGTGCGATCGCATAACTACTATGCAGTATGCAAACCCATCGCAGATGTGCAAAACATAAAAGGCAAAAATGATTATGTGATCGCAAAAGCGAGCGCATATTTAGTTATGCGATCACAAAATGTTCGTATTTCTTCTCACCAAATGGGCTAATGGCCTGTCTCTGTTTGCGGCACGTATGCGGACCACATAAGTGGTTTGCGATCACAAACACGGTCGTATAACCCTTTTTGTAGTGGACCACCTAGGGGTCTTTTTGGATAACTTTGTGGACCGCAAACCAATTATGCGTCCCGCAAAGATTGTCTTCTTCATTGAAACAGTGCCCCCTCTTTTTTTCTTTTCAAAATGCAGACCACACTCACATGTTCTTCACACCATCTGCACATCACACTCACATGCTTTCCTATTACTACCTACTTAGATTCCTTATTGTTGTTATAGGCCACTTAGTCGTTTTAAGATAAGAGGGGTACTCAGACATCCCCCATTTTGTTTCATCAACAAGAACCCATACAGTCACTCAACCAAATCCTCACCAGGTTGCTACCGTACTCAAAGGGAATTTAGGGGATCAGGGGAACGATCATAGAGCTCAGAATTCAGGAAGAAACATAAATCACAATTATGAGAGGGAGAAGAAAATCATACTAGAAGTTGAGAAAGATTAGGAAAATCCGATATGCTTCATGTGAGTGGATTCCTTGCTTTGTGAGTAATTTTTCTTTTTTTTGATCTTTTCTCTTTTCTTTCCTTGCTCATATTTTTTAGTTCTTTTGATTATTTTTACTGTGTGATAAGAGTGAGGATGAAAAATACGGAAGGTTAGGGTTTTGTAGCTGTCGGGTTTGCTGTGCATAAGTCCATCGCATAACACATTATGCGATCGCATATGTGTTGTGCGATGGACTAATGACTGGGCAACCTAAACTAACTTTGCGATGCATTATGCGATCGCAAAGTTGTTATGCGAGCCGCATAAGTGAAAAACTTACCACATTTTTGAACACCAAGTTGACCAATTTTTCTTCCTGTGTATGCGATGACTATGCGGTTCGCATAGTCATTATACGATCGCATATTTGTCGCCAACTCTGGACCTTTCTTTCCTTCAGTTTTCTCAACACTAGGACCTTGTTCATGATATTTTAGGACTACATACACTCTAACACACACGTCGACTTGCTCAATCTAAACTACATAAATGAAAAACTACAAAAGGGTGTTACCACACATGGGTTGCCTCCCAAGCAACACTTGATTTAACATCGCGGCACGGCGCAGTTGACCCCTTTTGGGCTATTCATTGGTGGGGACTTATATTGGACTATCCTTTATAGCGAATTCTTCTATCAAGTGTCTTTTTCCTGTGGTACCGAGGTAATGCTTGACTTTTTGACCATTCACTTTGAAAGTTCGAGTTCCATCCTTCGACTCCAGTTCAATAACACCATAAGGGGACACACCCACAACTTTGAACGGGCCAGACCATTTGGACTTGAGTTTTCCTGGAAATAACTTGAGTCTTGAATTGAAGAGTAAGACCAAGTCACCGGAATTGAACTCCTGCTTCAAGATCTTCTTGTCATGGACAAACTTCATTCTCTGCTTGTACATGGTTGCACTCTCATAGGCATGGAGACGGAATTCCTCCATCTCATTGAGTTGTGTCATTCTAAGCTTAGTAGCCTTGGCCCAGTCAAGATTCAACTTCTTAAATGCCCACATGACTTTGTGATCGAGATCCACTGGCAAGTGACATGCTTTTCCAAAAACCAATTGGTACGGTGAAGTGCCAATGGTAGTCTTAAATGTTGTGCGATACGTCCACAATGCATCATCTAGCTTCCTTGACCAGTCGGTCCTATTTGCATTGACACTTTTTGCTAGGATGTTTTTGATTTCTCTATTAGAAACTTCAACCTGACCACTCGACTAAGGATGATAGGGTGTGGCCACCTTATGCTTTACACCATACTTTTCAAGCAGCCCAGCAAAAGTCTTGTTACAGAAATGAGAACCACCATCACTCAGGATGGACCTTGGGGTACCAAACTGTGTGAATATGTTCTTCTTCAAGAATGCGGTCACACTCCTTGCTTCATTGCTAGGCAAGGCAATTGCCTCAACCCATTTGGATACGTAGTCCACAACCACCAAGATGTAGGTCATGCCAAAAGAGCTCATGAAAGGGCCCATAAAGTCTATCCCCCACACATCAAAGATCTCAACCTCCAATAAAAAATTCATAGGCATCTCATGTCTTTTGGATATTGACCCTTGTCTTTGACATTGATCGCATGCCTTGACTACTTGATTTGCATCTTGGTAGATCGATGGCCAATATTAGCCACATTCAAGCACCTTTGTAGCTGTCCGGTTTTCTTCATGACGACCCCTAACTGGAGAATCATGGCATGCTTTGAGAATTGTCATTACTTCATCTTCCGGAACACACCACCGAATGATGTTGTCGGCACAAATTCAGAACAAAAAGGGTTCCTCCCAATAGTATTGCCTACATTCCAGCAAGAACTTTTTCTTTTGATAAGTCTCCAATCCATCGGGAATAAGATCATTAACCAAGAAGTTAGCGATGTCGGCATACCAAGGAGAGAATGTGCTAGACAATGCCAATATGTGCTCATTTGGAAAGGAATCATTGATCTCAAGGTCTTCTTTTGGTTTTCCTGCCTCTTCAAGCCTAGATAGGTGATTCATAACTTGATTTTCTGTCCTTTTCTGATCCTTGACTTCAAAGTCAAACTCTTGCAACAAAAGGGCCCATCGAATAAATCTTGGTTTGGCATCATTCTTTGCCATAAGATAACGAAGAGAAGCATGATCGGTGTAAACAATCACTTTGGACCCCAAAAAATAAGCCCGAAACTTTTTGAAAGCATAGACAATGGTGAGAAGTTGTTGCTCAGTCTTAGTGTAATTCATCTGAGCGCCATTAAGTGTCTTGCTTGCATAGTAGACAAGGTGAAGGATCTTGTTATGATGTTGGCCAAGAACCACCCCAATAGCTACACCACTAGCATCACACATGAGTTCGAATGGAAGAGACCAATCAGGTGGACAATAATAGGTGTCGTGGTGAGATTTTCTTTCAATTCCTCAAAAGCCTTGAGACACTTATCATCAAATATGAACTTTGCATATTTTTCAAGGAGTTTGCACATATGATTTTCAAATTTGGGGAAGTCCTTGATAAAACGCCTTTAGAAGCTGGCGTACCCCTAAAAAGCCTCGGGCACCTTTTATTGAAATAAGTGGAGGAATCTTGGAATGATCTCGATCTTTGGCCGGTCAATCTCTATGCCTTGTTTGGAAATTTTGTGTCCCAAAAAAATTCCCTTGTCCACCATGAAGTGGCATTTCTCCCAGTTTAGCACAAGGTTTGTTTCCTCACATCTTTTGAGCACTTGTCTAAGGTTGTCAAGACAATGCTTAAAGGAATCACCCACTACAGAGAAGTCATCCATAAACACCTCTAAGAAATCTTCCACCATGTCCGAGAAGATTGACATCATGCACCGTTGGAAAGTATCCGGAGTGTTGCATAGCCCAAATGGAATCCGGATAAAAGCAAAAGTCCCATATGGGCATGCGAACGTTGTCTTCTCTTGATCTTCCAGGTAGACCACCCCGGTATCTGACCATTTGATAATTTCTTTCTTTACCACCTCTTGCATGGAAGGATTTAACCTTCTTTGATGCTCCACACTTGGTTTGCTCTCTTGCTCCAATTGTATCTTGTGTTCAAAAATTCCGGCCGGAAGCCCTCGGACGTCCGCTATTGTCTACCCAATAGCTTGCCTATGATCCCTCAAGACATTCAACAGTTGTTCTACCTGCAAATAATTCAACAAAGAAGAAACGATTACCGGTAGAGTGTCATTAAAGCCAAGAAATTTATACCTCAAGTGCGGTGGAAGTGGCTTGAGATCAAGTTGTGGCGGTTCAATAATTGAAGGCTTGGCAGGAGGAGTGACTCTATTCTTTAAGTCAAGAGAAAGTTTCTTTGGAGCATAAGCATAGGACCCAAGTCCTTCTAATGCTTTCACCAATTCCATGTACCCCTACATATCTTCACCATCAAAATTTACCAAAATAGCCACCAATGCCTCACCAAGGCATTGTTCTTTCATCTTCATCTCAATTGCATCTTCTACCTCATCAACAATATCAATGACTGAGATGCTTTCATTTGCATTTGGCAACTTCATACCCTTGATCACTTGGAATGTGACCTCTTCATCATTTACTTGGAACTTGATCTCATTTCGTTTCAAATCCATGAGTGCTCTTCCGGTAGAAAGAAATGGCCTTCCCAAGATGATAGGCATCTCGTTGTCAACAGCACAATCACGGATCACAAAGTCGGTGGGGAGGAGGAAATTTCCCACTTTCACAAGCACATCATCAATAATTCCCACCGGTCTCTTTATTGAATGATCGGCCATTTGCAACCTCATACTTGTAGGCCTCAGAATACCTAACCCCGCTTGCTTGTAAATAGCAAGACACATTAAATTGATTCTAGCCCCATTATCACAAAGATCTCTTGCAAAATCGCGCGCCCTAATAGTGCATGGAATGGTAAAAGCTCCCGGGTCTTCTTTATTTTGAATGATGGTTGTTGCAATGATGGAACTAACCCGGTGAATCACATTCACCACTTCATTCTTGGTGGTTTTCTTCTTGGTGATCATGTTTTTCAAATACTTAGCAAAACTCGGCATCTCTTGAAATGTTTCCACAAATGGAATATTTACCGATAATTGCTTGAGAATGTCATAGAACTTCTCGAGTTTGCTATCATAAACCTTCCTAGCAAGTCTTTGAGGAAAATGAGGAGGAAGTCTAGGAATTGGTGCTAGAGTTTTTGGCGTCTCTTTCACCTTTTCCATAACCTCTTCCCAGTTCACTTCTTGAACTTTCAACTCTTCCGGAAACTTTTTAGCTTCAACAACAATTGGCAATTCAACTTGTGCCTCAACTTCTTGTTCGGAATCTTCCACTTTGACCACTTGTTCATTCTCTCCTTGAAGTACGTTCCCACTCTGAGTTGTAATTGCCATGCAATGAGAAGTTGGACCACACCCATTACCCTTTGGGTTTGCAATTGTGTCACTTGGGAGTGTCCCCTTTTGCTTTGGATTTTTCTCTCTTGAGAGATCTCTCATTTGCATCTCCAACTTTTGAATAGATGCGGTATGAGAACTGACAAGCTCGGTCATATTCCTCATTGAAGTGTCAGACCTATGTTGATTTTACACTACTCTCTCAAGCATATTTTCTAGATTGGAATCACTTGAGGAACCTTGATTTGAATATAGTCCTTTTAGAGGAACATAAGGGTTTGAACTACGATTTGAAAAGTTGTTGTTGTTGTTACTCCAATTTCCTTTATTTGAACTACCTTGGTCATTTCGCCACTGTTGGTTCCCTTGCCCTTATGGGTCAGGCCTCCATTGGTTTTGTTGTACTGAACCTTGGTATTGTTTCCTTTGATAACCTCCTTAAAAGTTGTTGACATAATTTGCTTCCTCATAATCTTCATTTGATGTGGGTTGAACATCTTCCACCATATTCATCTTTTTTGTTTATCTTTCAGTGAACATCTTTGTTAACACATTGACGTTGGTGGCAAGCTCGGCAATTACTTGATCTCTTTCTTGGTTCTCCTTAATCATGTTGGTCAAGGAAGGAGTACCGTATGCAATTCCACCTGTGGTTTTCAATGAGTGCCAAGCTTGGTTATTTTTTTCCATTTTGTCAAGGATTTGTATGATCCTCACAAATGTTTTATCCATAAAAGATCCATCAGTTGCATTCTTGGCTATAGATTGGTTCATAGCAAATCCAAACCCATGTAGAATTTCTCCAACATGATAGAATCTTAAAAATCATGATTTGACGACCTTACCAAATATAACTTGAATCGATCCCATGCCTCATATAGATGTTCTCCCGGTAGATGCTTGAAAAAGAAAATTTTATCCCGGAGCTCAGATTTCTTGCTTTGCGGGAACCATTTAGCTAGGAATGCTCGGACAAGTTCAGGCCAAGAATGGATGGAATTTGGCGGTAAATTTTGAATCTATTTCCTCGTCTCTCCACTTAGTGAGTACTTGAACACCCTCAATCCTAAGGCATCATCTGAGACATTGTTCTGCTTGTGCATCGCACACACACCCAGGAATTTCTGAGATGTTGTGTCGGATCATCATCGGTGGAATTTCTGAGAAACCCCTCTACTTTGAGCATTAGGATTAAACCGTGTTCCACCTTGAAAGTGGCAGCATCAACTCTCGGTGGTACAATAACATTTGTATCCTCGATGTACTCATCTATGTCCACAAAAGGATTTTCTTCTTCCTCACCTTCAACCATGTTTTCCTATCATCACAAAGCAAAACAAGAAAAAGTGTGATGGAATAGAAAAAGACGTAAAGTAAAGCACACACTAATTAGTAATTTCAAAACCGTATTCCCTGGCAACGGCACCAAATTTGATACGCTGAAATTACACTTTAATTAAATAGTGTAAGGCGGTCGACATCAAATATAATAACCCAACAAGGTTGGCGTCGAATCCCACAGGGAATAGGTGTGAATAGATTACTTGAGTAGTGTGAAACTTTACTTAGGTCGTAATTCTATTCCTTTTGCTTAACAAGAGAATGATATAGTTGTGATTTTATAAGATAACTAATTTTGTTATGAAAATGTGAATAATTTGATTAAGAAAACCAAGGTTGTCTCCCCGTCAATGAAATGTAATACTATCGGTGTTAATATGATATATTTCTAATGGAAAGTCCTTTGATATACAAATGGTTTCTAAATGACTACCCAATATTTCCAATAGTTGGGTAGTATTTTCTCTTTATAATTTTCCGAAATATAAAAGAGTTGCAGATTAAGAACAACCTATTTATGCCAAGTAGAACCCATTTATTCCTAAGCGATTCTATTAAGCAAGATTTAAGGTATTGAGTTCTTGATATTCGCTTCTACCAAACCCTAACCCACTTTTCCAAGTAAAGAAAGAATAAGATGGAGTAAGTTAATGTTTGCAACCACCAACAAAAAATAAAGCATAAGAAATGAATAAATATCAACCAACCATCTAGGGTCCATAACCTTAGTATTTAAAACTAGCTACTCATACTAAAATACAAGAACAAAGCAATAAATAAAGTCATAAAGCTTACAAAAGTGCAAGATTTACTTTTAACAAGCTTCCAAATTAATGGAGTATTCAATGCTCTCAATGTAGGCCCTTTTTCATACTTGAATGACCCACAAAAACCGTAGTTATTCTTTTTATAGTGGACCAAAAGTCGTGGTTAAAATCGAACATACTTTCCCATACAGACGACTTCTGCGACCGCATAATGGTCGCGGAACATGTATGCGGTCCGTATAATTTTCGTACGCATCATAGATGTGTAGATCAGAGGTTCCAGGAATCCACGCATATGAATTATGCGGTCTGCATATTTGTTATGTGACCACATTTTCCCATCGCAAATGTGTTGAGCAACTTCTTCACTTGAAATTGTGCGGTCATTATGTGGCTCGCAAAAGTGTTATGCGACCGCATAATGGGCCGCATATTTTTCTCTTCATTTGGCCAGCCACTCTTCTTCAGTTTTAGGTAATCATGCGGATTATGCGGTCCACATTTCACTTATGTGGTCACATACTTGCAGCATTTCTGTCTTTGTGACTATTTGACTTCTTTTCCATGTTGAAGTCTCATGCACTACAAAACAACCAAACTTGATAAGAAATAACTAAAAATGCATTAAGAGACGAGCTAAAATCTAAGTAATTGGTATCAAATATGCGGAAATTCTATGGCACATCAACGGATTTTGGGGATTTTGTATTTTAGTAGCCTTATATGTTATTATGAGATTTTTCACTATTATACTTATTACATCATGTTTTCAATTTAATATACATAGTTATTTGTGATTGTCGGCTTGCCTAGTACTGTGATAGGCGCCATTACGACACATTGAGATTTGGTTGTAACAAGTTGGTATCAGAGCCTAGGTTGAATAGAAGAGGCTAAAGCGGTTAGGGAGGCTTAGGCCTCTAGCATTCAGTGGGTCTGAGTTAGAGGATGCTCAGGATTTGTTAGATAGGTGCCAATCGATCCTTTACATGGCGGGTATTTTGGAGACCAATGGAGTCTCATTTACTACTTTTCAGCTATCGGGGGAAGCTTTCAGATGGTGGGAGGCCTATGAGTTGAACAGGCTAGCTGCCGCTACACCAGTTATGTGGCATGAGTTCTCAGCTCTCTTCTTAGAGAAGTTTGTTCCACAGACCTGCAGAAAAGAGTTGCGTAAGTAGTTTGAGTAGCTACGCCAAGAGGGTATGTCCGTGACCTAGTATGAGATGAGATTTTCAGGGTTGCCTCGTCATGCGATTTGTTTGTATCCCATTGAGAGGGAGAGGATTTGAAGGTTCATTGATGGCCTCAACTATGGACTACGCTTCATCATGAGTCGGGACATTGCATTAGGTACAAGGTTCGACAAGGTGGTTGATGTTGCTAGGCAGATAGAATAGGCCTGTAGTCAGGAGAGTGAGGAGAGGGAGTCCAAGAGGCCTCGTGGTTTGGGTGGTTTTTCTTTTGTAGGGAAGTCACACCACACTAGGGGTTGACATTATAATCCCACTTAGATGGCTCATCCGAATCATCGTGGTGTATCAGCTTGCCATGATTCATACAGTGCTCATCTGGGTCAGTCATCTCTCAATGCCCTTCCAGCTTCGAGTTCATCTCATGCTCCATCAGTTTAGGGGTTCATCTGTACAAGGTTCTTTTAGTAGCTTTTCTAGTTCTCCGGTTCTGATTCAGTCTCCACCACCATTGGCGAATTGGAATTGCTTCGAGTGCGGAAGTTTGGAAATGTGTTGAGGTAGTGTCCCCATTGTTTTGGAGAACCAATTTAGTAGAGAGGCCGGGTTCTAACTTCCGCACCAGTTACTTCACTACCCGCTCAGCCAACCTGGGGTTGGGCTCAGGTAGCTAGATGTCCCCCTAGAGGGGGAGGTCAATCAGGTGGCGGTCAGGATCAATGCTATGCTTTCCCGCCAGGCAAGAGGTCGTTGCTACATACGCAGTGATCACATGTATTGTCTTTTTATGCCATAGAGATGCTTCCATATTATTTGACCCTAGTTCCACTCATTCATATGTATCATCATATGTTGCTCATTATTTGGATAGCATACTTGGTAAGATCCGTAAATTATAGATGGTATTCCCACACACTCATAATACCTTGCATCAAGTTCTCAAACTCGGTGGCACTGGCTATCCTAGTCTCTACATGAAAGAAATGATCCATAAAAGAATCCACAAACTTATTTACTTTGTGTAATGCCCCAACCTATTAAGGCGTGACCGGCGCTCAATCGAGTGAACCCAACTGAGCAAACCTTTTAGACACCTTCTACCCAACTCACTATGATCAATAAACCAGGCTTTCATTTAAATTAGACAGTAGGAAAGATCATACATGAAACACTGCAAGTTTATTTTATATTACAATCCTTAAACCCTAGTTAAATTTCCAAATTTCATACATTTACCGTTTAGAGGAAACAAGAGTTTAGAATTACAACATAGTCTAGTGACCCATCCAATGCTCGTACATAACCCACACAAACGTCTACAAAGCCTCTAAGGATACAAAGGAAAGTTGTGATAATGCCGACAACAAGGCCCCGGCTATACCTCATAAGTGGAAATTATAACAAAAGATGTACAACATAACCCTTGAAGGAAAAGGGGCTCACCAAGACTTCTGAGAGGAGGCTGCTCTGCTACTTGCGATCAGCACTGTCTACTATGATACCACTTACATCCATTCAAAAGATGTCGCGTCCCCAGCAAAAGGGACGTTAGTACAATGGAATAGTACTAGTATGTATAACTAAACACCATTCTATTAGAAAGAACAACCATACAAGAACAGAGAAATCATAAGTACTAACACGAGCATTAAACAATCACCATATAATCAAGTAAAAGGAATCACATGGCTTTCACATAATTTCCATAGCTTTAGGTTAGGACATTTTATACTGTTGCATCATTATTCTCAATACCACCGCTTTCTTGCACGGAGTCCGATCACGATCCGATAGGCTAGGTTGCCTCATATGAGACATGTACCTCAGTCACAATTTCATTCTCACTTTCTTGGTT